CGCCAAAGGCGCGTGGTCCCCGGCCGTCTTCTCGCCGCGCCAGCCGAGGCCCAGCCGTGGCGCCAGGCCGAACATCGTGCCGCGCTCCTCGTAGGGAAGGCCACCTGTGGGAAGCTCAACGATGTGCACAGATGGATCCATGGGGTTGATATATTAATAGCATAAATTCATGGTGGGTATATAATAGGTTGTATATATCTATAGTTTAATATAGATATCTATAGTATATATGAATAGTATTTAACTATAGTGGTATATAATAGTGGTATATAATAGGTATATAATAGGTTATATAGGTATATAATAGATGATAATTGGTATAAGAGATGAACCTATAAATTCATAGTGGTATATAATAGGTGGTATATTTCCCCAGTCCTTATGGATTATGATACCCTCTGGTTATTTGTCACATAGCCATGGAATAGAAAAAAGGTTGTATATATCTATAGATAGTTTAATATAGATTTCTATAGTATATAGTTTACTATTAAACTATTTTATATAGATATCTATAGTATATATTAATAGTATTTTAACTATAGGGGAATTATAATATACAAATAATAGAAACTGTATGCCCATGATATTGGATATGGATATAATGGGAATACATAATATTCATAATGGGAAGGTATAATGGGAAGGTATAATGGGAAGGTATAATGGGAAGGTATAATGCATGATTTATATATATATGGGGTATTATATTCATGATATGTAGATAGATAGATACTGTAGATATAATTTATAATGGGAAGGTATATTGGGAATATTAACCTGGATACTATGGATTGTTTTTTTGGCAAAAAAAAACAAACGGAAGCAACATTTGGATGGAAACAGAGAAAAACATGGTTAAAATCATGGTGAAAATCATGGGTCTATTCCAGTCGGACCTGGACCACTGGCTTTGGCATGCCATCCCACCTGGAGGCGTTGAGGCGAATGTGAAAGTTGGGAAGCAGCCAATTTTTATGTGACCACTGTGGTTCTTCATGGTAACTATGGTTAACTATGGTTAAAAATCCATAACTATGGTAACTATGGTTAATATTCATGAATCATCAAGGAAACCAATCCACTTGTGGACCATGTGTAGTTCGAGCTGCGTAAGTTCTTGCAGTGTTTTACCTGGTCATACTTTGGACATGTTGCATCCCTATTTGGAGGGCATGTTACTACCCTTCAACAGTAGCATGTGCTGGTCAACGTGCATCAACATGCTGGCAGGTGGTGGAAAAAATAGGTGGTCCAGTGGAATCAAAAATGCAGTATTTCCCCTCGGAAAACCTTCCAAATACTGTGTATATCTGGGTAAATTATAATATTTCACTAACCTGAATTGAGGCCATTTGGGGATGATTTCCCTTACTAACCATGATTCCAGTGAGGTCGTAGTGAGGTCGTTATAATTTACCCAGATATATATATATATATATACATAATATAATATATATATATATAACCAAGCTATGAATGAATGGTTATCTCCCCTTGACTAGTTGTTTTTATGTGTAACTCAGCTAATAAAGCAACACGTCAAAAAATCCCACGTTCCCTCTGGTAAACTAACATCATTGTGGTTTTTTTTACCATTTTCTAAAGGTAAACAAACTACAAACAATAGCTGTGTTAGTTTGAGAGTAAGTGCGGGTCAACTTTTTGAAGAGAACTGGTTGGGTGAAGCCTCAAAGAAGCCGCACCTGATGCTGCTCTGTCTCAGGCCACATCAGTTGTTCATTGGGGGCCCTCAATTTTGCTGCCTCGGGGATCCGGTAGGAAAGGTACCCTCCAGTTCACAAAAAAAGTAATTGGGATTTAGGGACATCTCCAAAAAAATGTGGATCCCCATGAGTGAAATTTCTAGCCATCTAACTTGGATTGCCCAAACCCAGGTTGAAGGTCATCAGTTCATTCCAATTGAATGCACTGCCATTTTTAGAAAAGTTTAAGGAAAAAAACAGTTTTTTTTATGCCCACCCTGTGTTTCAAATCTGAATCATCCCGTGTTGGTTTTACGAGACGTCTGGAAAGGGCCCCCACGATTTGCTGATCATCAATCCCTTCAGTATCCTGGATGGAAAATCCACATGGGATGCGGTCGATGTTATCATCACTTTCCCAATTAGAGAACACCCCGTCTTTGTCATAATATTGTTGGAACTAATATCCCATAAAATGTCCAATTAAAAAATATAATGGATAAATATCCCGATGGACCTTTGTCTAAATCTCATTATCGCATAAAACATCCCGAATATATCCCCCGTATAGATATACGATATACATATTATAGTTGATTCTATGCCCCCAGTGTAGCTGCTCCAAATACGACTCAACCCAAAAAAATGTATATGATTTTACCCTACAATTCAATTTCCATACTGAATCAGGCTCCCAAAATATGGATGGTTCAATAAACCCATACTCTATAATCCATTACTATTTGACTATAGTTACTATAGTCAGTTATAGTTGCTTCATAAAAAAAAAAAAAACACGGCGCGCTTCACGGCGCGCAAGGTCGCAAGGTGCCACATCGGCGCGCAAGGAGCGCTCCGTGGCAGCATCGAGGCCTTTTTGGGGGGACTCGTGGCAGCATTGGGTACACAAAATCCATAGATTCTCTTAGAAGAATCACTCAGGTTTCATAGATTCTAACATAGATTCTATTCAATTGAATCTAACATAGAATCTAACATGATCTAACCATCTATCCATAGATTCTAACCTCTGGTAACAGTTCGACCACGCTGCCATGAGTTGGGGGTTGGAAGATGAAGGTTCCACGAAAAATGGATGATTTTCAGGGTCGAACTGTGAATTTACCAGGGTACCCTCTGGTAAACTAACATAACTATGGAAAATCACCATGTTTAATAGGTAAATCAACTATAAATGGCCATTTCCAATAGCTACGTTAAATTACCAGAGGGTAAGAGGTAAACTACCCATAGATTCTCTTTTGGTTAGATTGTTGGAACTATCATTGGCCAGATAGTTTTTTTTTACCAAAAGAATAGTTGGCTAGACAGGGTAGATGGCTGAAACTAGCCGACTACCCTCTAGTAAACGAACCTAAATATGGGAAGATTGCCATCGTTAATAGGCAAATGATCGAACGAACCATGTTGAAAAATCCAGTAACAAACCCACTCTTGAGACTTATCAGTTATCAGATATTAATGACATTATATGGTACATTATATATATATATGGAAAGTTATATAAACATACGTATTGGTGATGGGAGTTAATGATAGCCAGTTAATAGGAAACTAAATGTAGCTATGATATCCCTTATCAGCTATACATAACCAGTTATCATTTATAGGTATTTTTCATGATACATGATATAAGGAAAGTTTGTATCACCATTTTAAAACTTGATATCCAATCATCTCCCAGTTTTAGTGCTTCGTTGTAACTCAAAACATCCCACACAAAAAAAAAAAACATCATCGCCTGGTAATGATACAGGATGGTGCCCCCCAGTGAAAAAACCCAGTTATGGTCGTTGCTTTAAAAATCCCATTAGCTCTAGTTATATACCGGGTTCCTACCATAAACAGTTAATTCAGTCACTTTTTTTCGGCCCATCCAGCGGAGTCGGCCCCAGCCTTGAACCTGTCCCTTCGCGTGCGGATCGATGTGTCCAGGTTTGAACTTTGATGGCACCTCGCAGGACGGGGCACAGATGTAGGTTTCGGGCAATTCTGAGATGAAGCAACCAATAGAAATTGGTGCGTTTATCATGGGACATGGTCTGAGATATGATACTATTGGGTGATATATCCAATATTATGGGATATGATACTATTACGGGTCATAAGCACATAGTATCATAGACAAATGGTGATATTATGGGTGATGGAATACTGTCTGAGATAGCCTCTGGTAACCTCCGCTATGGAAGATCACCCAAAATCATAGGTAAATCATCTGTAAATAGTGGATTTCATATTACTGGGAGGTAAACCAACCAATAGAAATTGGTGCCTTTATGCTTGGATATTATGGGATATAAACCCAAAGATATCGATATTCTGGGATCTAAAGTTCCAATAAACCACTAAAATTGGGAGATGGTGGGATAGCAAGTTCCGAGATGGTGATATAAAATGTCAATGATGGGATAAACCAACAGGTAGAAATAGGTATGATCGGGTATGATGATGGGATATAAACCCAAAGATGATAGGATGATGTTTAATTGATGGGATAGGTATAAGATGACGTTGGGATCAGCAATTTATAAAAGATGTTCAGTGATGTTTAATGTGTTTGATAGGGAGGATATAAACCCACGCATTTTCTGAGGATATAATGTGATGGGATATGGTGAGATATAGCATACATACATGTATATTGCTCCAAGTTTTGGATATCTTATCAGGAAAATGGATGGTTTAAACTTTAAACTGAACCATGGGATGTTGTTGCTTTCCCCAACTTTTGAAACAAACGCAAATCATACCCTCTGGTAATTTAACATAGCTATGGAAAATCACCATTTTTAATGGGTAAATCCACTATAAATGGCCATTTTCAATAGCTTTTTGTATGTTTGCCAGAGGGTAATATTGGTCTTCCACTATCCCGCCACATCCCCATAATATCACCAGTTTTCCCACTGATAATCCATATCTTGCACCCAACAAAATAGGCCCATAGGCATAGCCGAGCCGCATCCAAGACCCTCAGAGCACTTCGCACCGAGAAGTTCTCTCGCTTGTTGGGGCTGAAGTGTGCTCGTTCCTGTTCAGATGAAACATAACCCCCACTCGGGGGATGCAGTTGAGATTACTTCTATGGCTATAACCTTATACTTTTAAGCCCCAAAAATCTGGGATAGCCTATAACTTAGTTCACTGGACCTGCACTTCCAAGCAGTGAAGCCTCTTTGAACAGATTCTATGGGGAATTCATCCAACTACCCTCATGACCATGGGGATTCAGATTCAACCCCCAAAAAAAAGGTGACCCCCCTAATCATAGATGGATGAGATTCGTCCTTACTATGCCATTATTGGTCCAAATCCGTCCCCAGGTCTCCCCGCCCCGGCCTTGGCAATCCGCTGTCGCCATAGAAATTGCCCCTTGCCTCGCGATGGAGCTTTGATGCATTGGCAAGCTGGAAAACCTTATATAAACTTACTGGTGCTGAGTAGGGAATGAGGGAATGATCCATAATCACTAGAGTAATCATCATCCCAGCAACCCCCAGCAACCCATCCATTCCCATCCATTCCCTACGTAAAACGAAGGGCCAAGTGGCTGGTGGTGATGTCGTTGGGATTATCATCCACCATCAACCGTTGCGCTCGCCGTTGCAGGCCAGGCCGGGGGGGATCACATGGCCGGGGAGAAAACAGGCTCCGAAGATGGCAAAATCCACAAGTTTTTCACCATGGGTTGTGATGAACTTGTGGATCCTTGCTTTGGAAAGCCATTTCCAGCTGCCTTGAGCTGTGAACACAAGAGGTCTGCCGGATGTTCTAAGATTTGCCCAAGCAAAAGCCCCGAAGAAAAGCACCAAACATCACCAAACGTGTTGCTTTGGAAGACTAATTCCACGTTGATTCTTTTCAGTGGTCCGGACGGTGATCAAGATGTCCAAACTCGGAGGCGGTTTGGCGAAACCTTGCCACTTGAGCCAAAGCTGACTCCAACAGAAAGTCCCTGACAGGAGCCATCAATAAAGTGGCAGCTCTCTTTAGGCACCCTAGCTCATGTCACGCTCCTGGAAGATCAATGAACAGAAAAGTTCAATCCAGGGTCGACAAAGTCCAGCTGTAGAAAAGTAGAGAGCAATTTAGAATTGGACTTATCACTGTAATTTTTGGACCCACCAATGAATCAACTGGCTGTTTGGGCATTTCTCTAAATTTCTAACTCCGCAAACCATCAAAGTCTTTTATCCAAAATACCAAAAAAGCCTTGTTGTTTGGGGATCCCCAAGTTTCGGAAAATGTCTTGTGTCACCGCCACAGAGAAGTTCAGGACCATCCTCCGGTCAAACCACACCAGAACCTCTTGAACATCGGCGCACGCTTTTTTTTGCCTCAGGATTTTTTCGGGAGTCCCATGGTCCAATTGTGCATCAAGCTGGGGCTGTGTTCCCAACTGGCGGTCAAAGTTGAAAAGACCCATGGAGCCCGCTGAATTTGCTTAGTCTTTAGAGGCAAAAGATGGTCCCCTATCTACTTCGGGATTGGTATGGTCTCCTGGGAAAAATACCTCAGTAATCTCAGTACGCAAATGTGGGAAATGGATTGATCCTAATGCTTCGGGTGAGGAAGAGAATGGATTCAAGAGTTACCCTCTGGTTATTTAACATAGCCATGGAAAATGGCCCCATTTATAGATGATTTCCCATTAAAACCTCCATTTATAAGGGATTGTTCATGGCTATGTTAAATAACCAGAGGGTAATTGTCATTAAATCGCGTCTGCAGTTTCAGCATGAGAGTTGTGTTCAATTCCGAAGAAAGAAATAACATGTTTGATTACAGCGAAGTGTTGCACCAAACACTCAGCTATCAACCCTGCGTAATAATATTGGCAGCCCCCGCAGCCCCCTAGTTACCTAGTTTTGTTGGTCAGGCCCTTATTTCTATCCATGTTTGTTGTTAGCACCTTGTTACGGTTAATCGGTTAGTTGTAATGTAAATCCAGGATGAATGAACACCCAGTGTGTTTTTCTGTGGAGGGTGTCATTGATGATTGGAGTCTTACGATTTTGAGAACCCCCCAATGGGAAAACACGGGGGCTTTGTCAAACTTGGTTTGACGTTAGGCCCGCTTTCTTGCTTGTCTCCCACTGCTTACCTCAGCATAGGTTGAACTTCCATCGAGCCCTGACTGCACAGAATGCCTGAGTTGCCTACCACTCAATAAAATCTGCTTCATCTATCTATTTCGATCTATTTGGTCGTTTTTCTTCGGTCAATTTTTGCAGTATCCAAGATCAAGTGATCAAGTTCTCATCTAAGTCTCCCATTTCTTCCAAAAATCTACACTCTTCCCAGTCACGCAGCGAACCCCAGAAATTCTCCCAAGGCACTCGCAGATTTGCGGATGCTTTCAGGACAAAGGTCCACCTGGCTGAGAGTCAACTGACAAGTCACATATCCAACATCTCTTCGGTGACCAAAAAATCCAAAAAAACTCTTGGGCACCGGATTCTGGAACCATTTGCCATTTAAAAAAAAAACTCAAAAATACCAAAAAAAATTGAAAGCAGTCACTCATGCCATTGTCATTTGAGAAAATGACAGGTACTGGAACCAACTAACAAGGGTTACTAACAACTCCAAAAATCCGTGGTTTGATCTTCAATCATCGCCGCCCATGGAACTTGCTGTTGGTTTCCACCCTGCCACCAGGTGGAACAGATACGGACCAGGCACTCTTTCACCCAGATCTGCCGGCATACACGTTCCTCAGGCATGACCAGCAGGCGCAATACGCAAGGTGGGGAAAACGAGATCGCCAAGTTTGTTTATAGGTTGAAATGTGGTTTGTAGTAGATATATGAGGGTTTCCACCAATGGCTGTACCCCAGCACCTTGCAGAGATCCCCAGAAATGGGATTTGAACCTTCCAGAATTGGAGCTTTATGGCAGTTCTTATTGCGTTTTTGTGAATCCCCCCATTCTCTCTAGATCCTTTGCTCTTCCAAATCCGTGAAACCCATGGCAACATGTACCCAATATCAAGTGCCACATCCCCTGGCCGCCAAGCTTCCCCATCCTGAGCCATCCACCATCCCCGAGCAAAGGGGCCGGCCCTCACGACCTGACTCCGTTGAGATGATTTAAAAAAAAACCGCTGGTCGTTGGTGACACACCTTGCGAACTGGAACATCACCATTAAATCACCAAAAAAAAACACAAAAAATCTCAGGGAAATCAGGAAATCATCGAAGTTTTCATGGGCCATCTAGACCAAGCAGCAACCTGTTAGTTTGGACATTCACCTGGTCACCTCGATTGCCAGGGCGCAAATGGTCCATGGCAGTTCGATCCGCACTGGCTTGGAGGGTGTGGACTGGTTGCAGCACACCTCATCCCCTGCAGCGACGTCATGGATTTTCCATAGGAATGGCCTAATAATTGGGGGTAGGTTTACATCAGATCACCAACCAAATGTTGAAGGGACAACCAGGGGTCCAAGTCCTGGAATCCTGCAGAAAGTAAAATGCAGCCACTCCTTTCGGATGGCTCTCCTGGCGTGGTTTGTTCATGGGGGTTCTACCAGTCGGCGTTTGGTACTCTAGATGTGCAAGCCAGTAACTGGATCCGTGGGTAATAACATGTAATAACCCACATTCTACCCCACTGAGATTTGAAATATCTCTAATTTTTTATGGAGTTATGGCTTATAAACCAGGTTTTCTATGGGATGTCTAGGGGAGACCCAAGATGTCCAGGCCTTTCTTTTGCCCGAAGTGCCCAGAGCACTTGATCGCATCGGGCATGTCACTCCTGGCATGAAAAATCTCCGAGCTTAGGACCCTGGTTCAAGCGAAAATTGCTGGCTGAAGCGTTGAAACCATCGTTTTTAACCCCCAAATATAGGGGGTGTCCTATGGTTTCCCTCAAATTCTCCCATCATCCGATTCTGGAAGACCGGGGCCACCTAGTTCTCCATCATGGATTCAGTTCCCAATCAACCATCATCAACCGTACCCACAGGCCCGTAGCCTACCAGCGGTCCCAAGGTCCCAACACCACTCCATCACTTTACCGAGGCGCTCAAACATGGGTTTCCACGCTCTTTCCAGGTAATGCCCTGCTTCTGCAACGCCTGACTGCGAGCGATCCACCACCTTACCATGCCTCTTGATGTCCTTGATTCAAAATTTGAAGTCCCACGACCCAAGACCCTCCAAAATTGGAGGCTCCAAACGATCATCTTCCAAAATCATTGACCTTCCACAAAATTTCATGGTGATTGAACCGACCCCCCCCATTGCGGTGAGCTGCCCCTAGAAACTTGCCTCTGGGCAGTTTTGACGTGCATGAGCTTTGGGGGCTGATGACATCCTGGTTGCGTATGAAATTTTAAGCCCCACTTTTTTGTTGGTTCAACCCCAATTACGGTTCTTCTTGCTAGGTTCCCAATTCACTTACCAAGTTTGTTGCTTCGACTGGAATTCTTAGACCTTTTTCTGAGTTCAGCCCCGGGATAGCCACCCCCCAAGTCCACCATTTGCGGCCAGATCGCCACATGGTTTGACCCAGAGAAAAGCTCTGTTAGATGGTTGGATTTCAATAGCTATTTCACCCATCAATAGCTATTCCAATAGATGTTTATTCCAATAGATGTTTAAGGATTTTTAAGGATCTATACCGTCTATACCCCATTAAACCATATTAAACATCGTTCAAAATCATGAAACCAACCAGATCAGCTCTGACCTCTGCCCTGGGCCTTCATGTGCTTTGGAAGTGCATCGCAAAATCTCACGCAGCAGCCGTTCGTACATCGACCTTCGTTCGGCGACCGGATGACCCTATGACTTGGGAAACTAAGCATGGCCATACAATAGTTGCAGTCACTTCAACTACCAAAAAACTGTAATAAAATTAAACTTGGTATGGTGTGATTTACCAGGTAGTGGCCGGCACGCGCCGGGGCGGAAATTTTGAAAACAGAAGATGACTATAGGAACGAGTTTGTTTATAGATAGTATTTGTTGGTGAGATGGAAAGAAGTGAACTGAAATTAATGAATTGAAGAAAATGAATACAAGATTGAAATGTCAAGCTTTGCAGACTGCTTGGCAATGTCACCCGGTCAAGGCTTTGGTTCAACTCTGCATCAAAAGTCAGGTCTTGCAGACTGTTTGGCAGCGTCTCGTGGTCAAGGCTTTGGTTGAAGCAAAAGCCAATGGTCAAGCTTTGCAGACTGTTTGGCAGTGTCGCGCGGTCAAGGCTTTGGTTGAAGCAAAAGCCAAATGTCAAGCTTCAAAAGCCAAATGTCAAGCTTTGCAGACTGTTTGGCAGTGTCACGCGGTCAAGGCTTTGGTTGAAGCAAAAGCCAGATGTCAAGCTTTGCAGACTCTTTGGCAGTGTCACGCGGTCAAGGCTTTGGTTGAAGCAAAAGCCAAATGTCAAGCTTTGCAGACTGTTTGGCAGTGTCACGCGGTCAAGGCTTTGGTTGAAGCAAAAGCCAAATGTCAAGCTTTGCAGACTGTTTGGCAGTGTCACGCGGTCAAGGCTTTCGTTTAAGCAAAAGCCAAATGTCAAGCTTTGCAGACATCTTTGGCAATGTTCACGCGGTCAAGGGCTTTTGGTTGAGCAAAACCAAATGTCAAGCTTGCAGACTGCTTGGCAATTTCACGTGGTCAAGGCTTGGTTTGAAGCAAAAGCCATGTCAGCTTTAGGCAAGACTGTTTGGCAGGTCACGCGTCAAGGCTTCTGAAGCAAAAGCCAAATGTCAAGCTTTGCAGACTGCTTGGCAATGTCACGTGGTCAAGGCTTTGGTTGAAGCAAAAGCCAAATGTCAAGCTTTGCAGACTGTTTGGCAGTGTCACGCGGTCAAGGCTTTCGTTGAAGCAAAAGCCAAATGTCAAGCTTTGCAGACTCTTTGGCAATGTCACGCGGTCAAGGCTTTGGTTGAAGCAAAAGCCAAATGTCAAGCTTTGCAGACTGCTTGGCAGTGTCACGCGGTCAAGGCTTTGGTTGAAGCAAAAGCCAAATGTCAAGCTTTGCAGACTGCTTGGCAATGTCACGCGGTCAAGGCTTTGGTTGAAGCAAAAGCCAAATGTCAAGCTTTGCAGACTGTTTGGCAGTGTCACGCGGTCAAGGCTTTGGTTGAAGCAAAAGCCAAATGTCAAGCTTTGCAGACTGCTTGGCAATGTCACGTGGTCAAGGCTTTGGTTGAAGCAAAAGCCAAATGTCAAGCTTTGCAGACTGCTTGGCAATGTCACGTGGTCAAGGCTTTGGTTGAACTCCTAATCTCTGTCATCCAATGCAAACTCTTCCTCAGCCTAACCCAGGATCCTCGTTTTAGAAACTCCAGGCAGCATGTCATGGGTCGCTTGGAACATAGGTCACCTTCATGGACCCCACAATACCCCACCCTTGCCATCGCGCTGCACGGGGCCCACCTCCTATCCCATTGAGAATGCTGACGTGTCGATGAAAATGGATGAGATTTGTCAGTGTGGCTACACCCGACTTCAAATCTTTTCTAAGTCAAATCACATTTTTCGTACCACAAATCACTGAAAACCTTGCTTCTGAAATTCTGAAAATTCTTGAACTGATTCTCATCCCCAGTGGCTTGGGATATTGCCGGATCCGTTCTCGCGACACCGCGAAGATGGGATTGTACAAGACACCCGTGTGCCTCGCTGGGTTTTGTTGAAATCAGAACGGGTGGAAAAGGATTGGGTAATTGGGGTCAAGGTTGGTTTCTGATAGATATATTACATGTATGATATATCTACATATACTATGGTTATGGTTTCTGATAGATATATCTACAGCTATATACTATGGTTTGTGAACCTCTATAGTTCCTTTTTTTGTTTATAAAGCCAATCATGGCAACCCAACGCCATAAACCTACCATGACTGGGATGGTTGAAATCCCACCCATAAAAATGGCAATTTTGGGGATGGTTTTTTATTGGGTTTACCACATTGGTGAAGATGTTGTTTGTCTCGAGATTGGGGCCATGAATCACTGATTCGTAAAGAAAATGTTCATCCATAAAAATATGGAATGTTCATCCAAAACTGTGGGGGTCTTCTCCCGTTGGGGATGGTCGTCCGGGGCACCTGAAAAGTTTGGAGAAACAAAAACAAGAATATGTGTGTGTGTGTGTTTTAAGACCTCTTTTTCCCAAGAGTACATCGCTTGATAGCAAGCAACTATCATTCTTCCTAGTGTGGATTATATCCTGTTACGCTCCAAAAATGTCGACATACCAAGAACTGATGATAGAATATGTATATATATGTGTGTATATATATATACATAATAAATAAGTGAAGAACTGACAGCATCGTTACACGTTTTCACAACACATTTTTCGCTGCCAGGGTGCCGAGCTTTCTTCAAGGACACGTTGTAAATGAAGGTTTCAAACCACTTCCTAAAGAGCTCCCAGGGCGCCCATGGGCTCCAAAAAAATAATGGATACCCCCAAAATAGCCATTGTTTTTAGTGCAGGACATATAATTACTGAGAACACAAATTGTTTTCCTGCTTTTTTTGTTCATACACTTAGAACACATTTCACCTGCGCGCAAAATTTTACCCTATCTGTTCTAAGTGCGCACTTAGAGCATGTTCTAAGCTTGCACTTCGAACAGCAGCGGAAACGTATTAGAACACGTCTTATAGATTCCAACATGTGTTCTAAGCGTATGTCCGTAATTATATAGTAGTCATACAATACAATTGTAAGACATATAATATTGTATAGGATATATATGTATATATGTATATGTGTCTATATTTGTATACATATACGCATATATAGTAAAAAAAACTCACGCAGAAACACTGCAAACCTGGTACATCTCTTGCACAAACTGCATACCTCTCATTTTTGGGTTTATCACATTAATCGTCTATATATATAGTTATATATATATATATGTATATCAATTGAGCCCTCCTGAAGGCTGTACCAATCCTCATATAATTTAAATTACCGACATACACTTAGAACACATTTTGGAATTGAGTTATCCCCCAAATGTGTTCTAAGTGCCTCTTAGAACACTTGTTCTAAGTGTATGTTTGGGCTGGTGTTCTAAGTGCACACTTAGAACACATTTAGCTGCAGAATGTGGAAATCCTGTTTTCCAAATAGTGTTCTAAGTGTATGTCTTACACTATAATGGGCAGATGTGGGAAAATCTTGGGAAATCAATCAAAAAAAATGTGTCCATGTCATTTTCAGATAGGGAAAAAAAGGGTGGGGAAACTGATGACAAACATATTGGATGCTTGCTGACATTTTCATGTACCAAACCCAAAGGAATGCTTCTGACATGGTGACCACGTGAGCTCGAGATTCGTTCGATATATGAATTGTCTCAAACAGCTTCGCCACAAGTTCCCCAGGTTTACATCAGCCCATGTTTGAGAAAACCCGCAAAGAATGGAGTTACAGTACACAGGCGCGCTGGGATATCGATATCCCAGCGCATGTCCATTCGCATTGAAAGACTTGGGTTTGCTCAAGCCATGGCACAAGCAAATGCAATGGTTTAAACCTCATGTTCCTTATTCAAAAGCCATATCAATGGGAATTTCAGGATCCTAAAATGGAGGTACGTACCATATATAAGGCCTATATAAGGCCTATGTAAGAGAATATCCCCAGAAAATATGGCCTTATATGGTACAGTACCTCCATTTTAGGATCCTGAAATTCCCGTTGACCATAGAGCAAGACCTTTTCCAGGTATCACACCCAAATCATGTCAAGTTGGTAATCAATATCCTATCAAAATTCCAAGAAATATCAGCATTGTATCCCCATTAAACCTCCATTGCATCACCATGACATTTCAGACTGGTTGGAAATATACCATAGGTTCCATATTAAAAATCCCCCATATCCCCTATGAAATAGCCCATTTCATGGATCAAGACCTACACCAAAAAAATAAGGGCATCTCAACAAGGGATGATCATCCAACATGTTTCAAGCATCCCGGTGCAGGATTTCGCAACCACAAAAAAAAAAAAACATTTATAACTCCTCCATTTTAATAATAGCTAGATCATGGTAAAATCATGGTAAAATCACCACTTTTTTCATCTCTTTCTATGCCCTAATTTTTTGAAAATGGTGAAATCATCCGAGGCTTCCCAGTTGAATCCCACCCCAGGTGCTATCAAGCCTCTCCAAGGGCCTCACGCTGGCCCTACAGGAGTCCGTGACAGTGCCACCAGCGTGGTTGCGGTAGCGATCTCGGCTTGGCTCGGTTGACCCTGGAAAAAATCACCGATTTTTTTCCGGTGGTTTTTGAACTTCACCATTCCCACATGCGTGGTTTATGACATTGTTTTACCCACAAAAAAATACATTTCGGGGGTGAAACATAGCACCCAAAATCTGACCCTAGGTAGACTATGGCCACAATTCAGGGATAATATATGATAATATGACCCATTTCTTTCCCTTGCGGCCCATAGATTAGCTAGTGGCTTGGAGCGTTCAACCTGTGGGAACTCAGCCGCAATTTTTTCATGGGAAAATTCGATGAAACCAATGAAACCCCTATGGGACACTTCGCGGGTGTATGGATCAATCCAACCAACTAGATATATATATATATAATATGGAGGTTCTTAAAATGGATCCCCAAAACCATAGGCTTCAATACCCATATTTTTGGACACCTCCATACTATATATATATACATAATCATATGGACTGATCCAGAATTAGGATCAGAAACCAACCATATGTGAGATTGATCCAAGAAGACAAGGATTTAATGATCAAATATGTGGGAAATTACAGCAACAGCTATATCTATATCTATATATATGGATTGTAATAAATTGGGGATTTTCACAAAGCAATGCCCAAAAAAGATGAGGAAAACATATATAATCAGATTCTGCAGTAGTGACGAATCAAAGCAGTTCTGTCTTTTTGAGGGTTACTTTATAGCCAACAAAAAGGGGATTTGACAAAAAAAAACATGGTATACGGTATACTTAAGTTGAGCAAGTGGGATACTGTGATACTAATCAATCCCCAGTGTTACCAATTCAAAAACCCCAGTTGGCGCCTGTTCCTACACTTACCAGTTGACACCCCGCTTGTGACATATGGGTGCCAATTCTGGTGGGTATGACATGGTATGAGAACTCAAAATGGAGTAGCAATTGGGCAGCAAATGGCTGGCTTGTAGTTCTTAACAACCATCCTAAGCCTTCCATTTTGGACATTAACTAGTCTTGAGCCATACCCATCGCAACCCATTCACCTGCCCCGAAACACCAAGCCCCACATGAGGATGTAGTTTAACCTATGAAGATATTTCTGCACAGGGTTGCGACCTAGTGAATGCTCCTACTGACTCATCAGGTTGAATTCCCTGTCGAATTTCATGGCAGCATGACTTCCACAGCCAAAGGCGCCGAGTTTGAAGTATCCTGCGAGAAAATTGGAGCGAAAATCCGGGAATTGGGTTCACCTTGGGAAAAAATTAGGAGTACCCTTTGGTTATTTAACGTAGCTATGTAAAATTGCCCATTGATAGCTGACTTATGAGGATTTACCTATTAAAAATGATGATTTTCCATGGCTATGTTAAATAACCAGATGGTATATACTCCACTCCATTCTCAGAGAACTTCAATTATGACCCGAACATCCCATCACTCTGTGTGCCACAGCCATGGCAGAAGCTGCCGAAGGCAACATCACTCTTGACCCACGGCCAGTAAATGTTGTAGTATCCCAAGATTAGTTGGAAAATATCGGAAAATCTTTACTGCCTAAATCCACTAGATCCCCAGACTTTCAATCCCTAAAACTCTTCCAGACCCATCTGCTTCCCTACATTTTTCTAAGTTTTCAGATCCAACTTTCGACCTTTCTTTGAACAGCCTAAAGTTGATGCGGAAACAATTCATGTCTAAAAATCATAGGATTCAACCTCCCAGGTGCCCCAATGAGATGGCGAAGTTTGATAACCCCTAAAGGTCCGTCCTTCAAACTCCATGAAACTGTCAGGCTTCTGGTGCGCCATGGTGGCAAAACCCGAGAAGCTCTGACGCTTCTCCGGGCTATCCAGGTAGCTCAGGACCTCACTGTGGATGGTTGCGAAAACCTGCACCAGGCAGGGTAACTATGGGACACTGGGACTATAATGAAATTATAACGGGATTTTGCAAATCTACCAGCTGGTGCAGGATTTCGCAACCATCCACTGTATGATCTTGTATTGGTGCAGACATATGTACATCCCGAATCCCATTCATATAGAAAATGTGGATGTAGAATGTAGACCAACAAAAATGAAGAAATACAGTAATCAATCCAATTCTTGGATGGTGACCATCAAACTTTCTGCTTGGCCATGCTGAGATTCTCCAAGAAACGAAGTTCAGCTTACGACACTTCAACCAGTGCCAGCCGTGGTCGTAGATGGATCCCAGGGTAAAAATGGTGATGGGTGCCAGGTCATCGTAGAAGTGGGTGATGTGCGTCAGGTACCTGGGGTCCCGGCAGGCTGTCGTTCTCGTCGTCCCAAACATCATGTTTAGTTTGATTGAAGAAAAGATCGCAATGTCAAATTTGAGATGATGATTCTTCTGCATCATCACCACAAGAACTGGAATACAAATAATTCAACAAGTGTGGCAAAGATTCTCATCATGCTAACTGATCATCGTTTGATTCTATTATTCATCATCGTCATCATCATCATCATCATCATCATCAAATGATCCAGCCTCTCCATGCTCCGTATCTTGAAACTCCAAGCGGCGCATATTCCTCTCCACCAAAGTTGTGGATCCGCAAACACCGAGGATCCTGCAACCGATCGCCTGCCCAGCCGGGGTTGCTGTGGCTTTGCTCGGTGGTTGACCGTTTCGCATCCGAAGAGTTAAGGCAAAATTCCGACATCCAAAAAGAAAATCCATATGTATATATATATATATATATTGTATATATAAACCATATAAAAATAACCATGTGCCAGTGATTTTCGAGAAAACCCTTCGAACATTGGCACCCCAGCGCCCCGACCAGTCGCACCTTTGCAATACAGTCGCAGGGCATAGCTGGAGGCCACAGGGGCCATCATCTCATCGATCCAACCTGGGCGGCAGATTTCGGGGTTTGACCTCCAAAAAATGTGTTTTTATATGGTTTTTATATGTTTTTATATGGTTTTTATATGGTTTTTATATGTTTGTTATATGGTTTTGACCTCCAAAGTGTCTCAAAAACCATTGAAGGATTGGAAAAATGAGCATTGATGGAAGATTGAGATCCAAGTCCATTTACTCTGAATCATGTTCTAGAATCAAATGCCACTTTTCGACCCGAAGTTGATAAAAATTAACGGACCCCCACAAGCTTGATCAAATTTGATCCTTCTTCCTTCAGCCAATGTTCGGTGTCAAACTTGTTGAACCATAGCCAGGATAAAATCTTCAGATTGTGAACCTGTAGGTTACCTTCGTTTTTAGGAACCACCAGTGGCCCGCTTTATCCCCATTGGCCCTTTTTACCAAGAGCCTGCAAAAGGCTCTTCGGACAAACAATTTCCTGGCAATTTGGCGATTACAATTGCTTTGCCCTCGGTCGAAAACAACGTGGAATCCCATGTGTCTGCAAAATTGTTTGCAGCTCTTCAACATGTTCCAAAAGTGTCTTAAACTTATACCCCATGTTCCCCTTTTCTGGGTGAAAACTTCTGGACCAGCCACTGAGGTCTTCAGAAAAGGCAGCTATGACCAGGTCGATGTCTGCCGTCTTAGGCTCTCGTGGAGCCAGGCTGTACCTGGGGCCGACGCCACCGGCGTCCCCTTGTGCGTCGCTTCTTCGGTGGGCGAAAAAAACCCTTCAAATTTCAGGTGAAGGCTAAGACTCAAGGGTGCGAAAGAATGACTGTCAGAAATCCCAGTCCTGTAGACTTTATTTTTGCGACAGCACAAACCCTTCAATTTTCAACTTTGGATCCAGGATGCCAAATGATCTCCGGATCCCCATCGCTGCCAGGCGCCGGCGCCAGCACTGGGGCTGCCGTGGCCGCTGGCACTGGTGCTGCCGGCGGCACCGCCGGCACCGACACCACCGGCGGTGCGGGAGCAGGCATAGGGGGTCCTGTTGCGCCTATGGGCACAGCCACTCGGGCCCATCCGGATCCCCTATTTTCGTGCGAACCCATGTATCAACCATATACCAACGATGCAAATTATTTGCCATTCTACCATACAACTATGTTATCAAACATACTGCCAACTGCACTATTTTTTCTACTGTATATATATGTATATACATATATTTTTGTATTATTTATGTAGGTATGTATGTAGGTATGTATGTATGTAAATATGAATAAATATATATATATTATGTGTATATTATATATATATATTTATTGTATATATATTATATATATATTGTAGATATATATATATATTGTATATATTGTATATATTGTATATATTGTATATATTGTATATATTGTATATATTGTATATATTGTATATATTGTATATATATATATATATTACATATATTGTATATATATATATATTACATATATTGTATATATATATATATTGTTTGATATATATATATTGTATATATATATTGTATATATATATATTGTATATATATATTGTATATATATTGTATATTGTATATATATTGTATATATATATATTGTATATATATATATTGTATATATATATACTTATTCATATAAACCTATTCACACATATACGTACATATACATATTCATACGTCAACTACACTAATCCTTTTTCTCCCTCCCCAAAACGCCCTCCACGGTCCTGTCACCACGACCTCTGCCTCACTTGGCTGAAGCAAGGCCGCCACGTTGGCCGACGCAATCTTCGGCCTCGGCCTCGGGGATGCAACAAGGTGAGGGCCCCTCCAGTAATGTTTGTTGCCGTGGTAACTATTGGTATAATGAATATCAACCCATTCTGGTTGGTGGCTTCAAGCCCTCTAAAAAAATATTAGTCAGTTGGGATTATGATTCCGAATATATGGAAAAATAAATTAGCTTCGGTGGTATCCCCAACAGCCGCAGCATTTCAAACTTCCGCGGCAACCCTTTCGCACGAAACGAGGTTCGAGCGGTTGTCAAACACTTTTTATTTGCGAGTTTGGCGGGTCCGGCGGCAACCCTTTCGCACAGACGAGGTTCGAGTGTCAAAAACTGGCGGTTTTTCTTACATCCTCCGCGGCAACCCGTTTGCACGAAACGAGGTTCGAGCGTCAAGAACTGCCGGTTTTTTGCGATTTTACATCCTCGGCAGCGACCTTTTCGCACGAAACGAGCAAGATTTTATAAACTTACATGTTCTCAAGCACCCGTACAATCAGTAACGTCAAAATGTAACTTACATTCGGGGGGGGCCTGAAACATGTAAAACCAGTAGTACCGCACAAGTCGCTGGCGGAAGTTTCAAGGATAGGGCACTATAGGAGAGGTGAGTTGTTGTGATGCATTGGTGGCAGAGCGAATCCGCTGATGGACCGAAAGGTGGTTGGAGTTGTGCTCTTTGGAGTGGTTGCAGTGGCCACCCCACCCACAACTGCTGAATGTAATGTGGCGTGGTGTAGTTTGTAGTTGTAGTTGTAGTTGTTTTTGTAGTTGTAGTTGTAATGTAGTGGTAGCCCTAGTGGTAGTTGTACTGCAATGGTAGTTGTAGCTGTAGCTGTAGTTGTGGTGTTGTTCAGTGTAGTTGTAGTTGCAGTTGCAGTTGCAGTTGTAACGCAGTGGCAAATGTAGCTGTAGTTGTAGTGTTGCTCGGTGTAGTCGTACTGTAGTTGTAGTTGTAGTGTAGCTGAAGTTGAACTTGAAGTTGTAGTTGTAGCTGCGGTGGTAGTGGTAGTTGTAGTTGTAGTTGTAGTGGTAGTTGTAGGTGTTGAAGTGGAAGTGGACGTTGAAGTTGTAGTGTAGTGGTAGTTGTACTGGTAATGTAGCGTAGTGTAGTTGTAGTTGTCTATCTATCTGTCTATCTATCCTTCTCTCTCTCTCTGTCTATCTATCTATCTATCTATCTATCTATCTACATGACTGTCTATCTATCTATCTATCTGTCTGTCTGTCTGTCTGTCTGTCTGTCTGTCTGTCAATCTGTCTGTCTGTCTCTGTCTATCTGTCTATCTGTCTATCTGTCTATCGATCTATCCATCGATCTATCGACCTATCTATCGATCTATCTATCGATCTCTCTATCGATCTATCTATCCGTCTATCCGTCTATCCTCTATCCCTCTATCCATCTATCCATCTATCCATCCATCCATCTATCTGCAAGCATGAAAAAGAAGCTATTCTGCCCCAATTTTCGAAGTTGACAGCATCAAAAACGCTGCAGGTCTGCGAGATTTCCTCAATGTTTAAATTTGGCAACGTCGAAAATGTAGGAATTCTGCGAGACTTCCTCAATTTTTGAAGTTGACAGCATCCAAAACGAAGCAATTCTGCGAGACTTCCTTCAAAAATGGAAAATTGCGTGCAAAGCTGACGGCCTCGTGCCAATGCCTTTTGCGATTTTTCCACTCCATCTGTCTAAAGTCTAAAGTATTGCGCCTGCCACGAAAAAGTGAAGCCAGGTCATACCAAGTGCCGCACCTGTCAAGCAAAATCATCTTAGCAAACCTGAAGATCTAATGCACCCAAATGAAATCAGCACCCTGACCTCCTAACATCATGTCTCTCGTACTGCGCCTGCCACGCGAAATGCATCTTCGCAGATCCTCTTGAAACGCCCCACGCCTGCCAACGCTTTTGAAGCTGCTGCTCAAAAGCAAAACCCCCACGTTTTGCTCACTTTTGGGAAGGTGCGCAATCCCTCGCACCGGCCGCACAAAACGACGCTTCAACGTCCAAAAAAGGACCGAGCATGTGGTGTCCTCAGCATGTTTACTTCCAAACGTGCTTCGCGCCACAACAGCGTGCACTCTTTGAGCATCTGAACGTCCAAATGTGGTCCGAACATGCGGTGCTTTTAACATGTTGACTTGAAAATGTGCTTCGCGCCTCAACAGCGTGCACTTTTTTTTCGACATCTCAACTTCCAAAGGTGCTCCGGGCACGGTGTGTTTTGTACCTTTTGACTTCGAAATGTGCTTCGCGCCAAAACAGCGTGCACTTTTTCAACATCTCAACTTCCAAAAGTGCTCCCACGTTGTGAAGTGTTTTGTGCATTTTGGCTTCGAAATCTGCTTCGTGCCACAACGGTGTGTAATTGTTGATCTCTCATCTGTCCAGATGGCTCCGCATCCGCCGCTTTAGCAAGCCTACTTTTGGACCCTCCGGAGCCCCACAACATTGGAAAAACACTGTGTTTCGCAACTTTTCTACCTTTTCGCGCACCTGCATCATCTTTCTTCTGACTCTTTCTCTTCTCTTCTCTTCTCTTCTCTTCTCTTCGCTTCGCTTCTCTTCTCTTCTCTTCTCTGACTCTTCCCACCTCTGCTTTTTCATCTGTCCAATTGTTGGAAGTTTGACTTCTGAACTTCCTTCGGTTGCATTTAGAAGGTAAAACCTTCCTAAAGGTAAGTTACAGTTTCGAAGGCGCAATGTCTGTGGAAGCGTCCGAAGTTGATTCTGGGGAGGTCCCCGAAGCATGGGGCCAAATGGGGTAAAAGGGTGAAAAAAAGGTAACACAGCATTCACATTTTGTAAGGCCCCCCCAAAACCCAAGCTAAGCGGTGGGGATAGGGAAACCTCATAGGGGTTGGGTTGGTGGGTTTACCCTGGTTGATGGTGATCAACACCTCCCCCTGCAATCTAGTTTTGGGGACGTGTCTACACAATGCATGCTTACAGTGTTGCATGTACATGACAGCCACTCCGTGGCTCAAGACTTGCTTGCATACCGCAGCAAAAAGGTGTAGCTTGCCGCCGCGTTGACCACAAGTGTTCTAACGACTATCGTAGATCCAGGGCTCCCTTAATAGAGGGGATTGCTACCTCGAAGTGGTAGCGGAGCCTGTGCCTCGCCAAGTTCCGAAACTTGTACGGCAGTTGTTCTTAGCATCTGCTCCGAAACTCGGACTTGCGAAGGCAACTTGTAAGTCAATCTCGAATCGCTGCCATGGTCTTAATCCACAACATGGACTCAGACGAAGAGCAACTTCAAATTGTCTCATACGTCACGCCGAAAACCAACTAGGCATCAAAATGACCCCGACGGTACCTCCACAATTTGATGGCCAATCAAGCTGGTTTGAATATGAAGATTTAAGTGATGACTGGCTCGGTATCACAACATTGGATGCAGATAAGCACGGACCATCTTTGAAGAATGCCCTTGTAGGTTCAGCTTCTTCTTACAAGTCGATGCTCGACAATGCCCTACTCCTAGGTCCGGATCGTGGCCTCGCTCATTTCAAGGACACATTGAGACCATACTTCGTGAAGGGAGTAAATCATGTGTTCCTTTCGCGATTCCTTCAGATGTTTCGCACATATCGAGGCCAGAGTGAATTCGTGCACCGGATTGGGCATTTTCGAAATCGCTCAGAAGCGCCTCTTGGCTTCTTGGTCCGATTTGCTTGATCTCTCCGATCTACCGGAAGTAGGCTCACAGGCATTCATGGCAGCCCTCACAGATGAGCAACGTGTACACTTTCAGCAATTAGCAACAGATGAAGAAAGAATCAATTATCAGACAACCCTTCGAGAGCAGACCACCACAAACAGAAAGGCCCAGCATCAACAGGAATTTCCGTTGTCGGATAACTTGATGTCCTTGATTTTCTTTGTTCAATCAGACCTCAACGAACAACAGCGAGAGCGCCTTCTTTCATCCATGAACATGCGTCAAATAGCAATTCCTCAATACACCTATCTTCAAGCAAAACAGCTGTTCTTAGAACTTTTCTGCGTTTCCCGAACAGGTGTTGCAGACCCAAATATCGCACACCGAAAGCGGTCGACTTTCTACATCCTCGAGGAAGGCGAGACCGAAGAAGGTGAACACGGATCCTGGACAAGAGACTGGAGAAGAAGGTTTCACAGGTCTGTACACAGAGAACGAATTTTGGGTTCTATAGGCGCTAAGGGATCATACTCTAAGCGCCGTTTGCACGGCCGATCATTCAAGAAAGGAAAGTCGAAGGGTTACGGAAAGAAAGGAAAAAGATCAAGACCCGGCTTCCGTCCGAGGTCAAAAGGTAAAGGTTATGCAGCATGGGACAATGACCAGCAAGACACAGCTTTCTGGGGAAAAGGAAAAGGCAAGAAGGGCAAGAAAGGAATGAAAGGAAAGGATTCTTTTAAAGGAATGCCTTCATGGAAAGGAAAAGGCAAAGGAGATGGCAAGAACAATGGAGGAAACCCGTATCAGCAACAACAGCCTCCACAAGTAAATGTAGCACAGCAAGCATCTTCTGGCGCCTCACAAGCCCCCGAAAATCGGAAGTTGCCCAAGCCGAAGAAAGCTGGGGTTATGACTATGACACATACTGGACAGATGACTGGTCAACACATGATGCAGTGTATGTTCGAAACAAGAATCTTTGGAATCCCTCTATGACAAGAGGCTCAGGCAACTTCACCAAACCAGATATTGTCCATTGAAAGCATTGACCTTTCTTGCCACCTTGTTTCATTTGCTTTCTCCACTGGGTGCAATATTGTCTTGGTGCCATTCGAAGTGCAATGGAGTTTTGAAGCGTGTCATTCGACTCCAGACTGATAATCTCAGTAATATTGCACATGGCAACAATTTCCAAACCAGTGCCATTGTCATTTTGAGCGAGAAAAGTAGAATAGGACGTCAGAGCTGGTGTCGCCTTGAAGCCAAAAATCCACCTAAGCACCTCGTCAGGCTGTTGCGCAGAAGTTGCAATCATATCGTTGATAACTGATGTTGCCAAGCGCACAAAACAACAAGTTTCATCTTCGGGGGTGTGCATTTTGTTGGCTTCGCCTGGCAAATGCAACTCTTCAATTGGCAGTTCATTACATTTGTCTCTGTTTTGCTGCACCAACTCCATGTCGTTGAAAACTAAAGCATTTCTGTCAGTTGCTTGCATGATGCCCTGCTGTTCAGCTGGTGTTGCGTCTGTTTGCTCAAGTAATTGCTGTTCAGCTGGTACTTGCCCAGGCTGTTCATCTGATGTTGCCTCTGTTTGCTCAGGTGGTGGCTGTCAGCTGGTGTTGCTTCTGTTTGTTTGGCAGGTATTTGCTCAGGCTGTTCAGCTGGTGTTGCTTCTGTTTGCTCAAGTCATGGCTGTTCAGCTGGTGTTTGCTCAGGCTGTTCAGCTGATGTTGCCTCTGTTTGCTCACGTAATGGCTGTTCCACTGGTGTTGCTTCTGTTTGTTCAGCTGGTGTTTGCTCAAGCGGTTCAGCTGGTGCTGGTGTTGCTTCTGTCTGTCTGGCAGGTATTTGCTCAGGCTGTCAGCTGGTGTTGCTTCTGTTTGCTCGGGTAATGGCTGTTCAGCTGATGTTTGCTCAGGCTATTCAGCTGATGTTGCCTCTGTTTGCTCAGGTAATGGCTGTTCCGCTGGTGTTGCTGTTGTTTGTTCAGCTGATGTTTGCTCAAGCGGTTCAGTTGTTGTTGCTTCTGTTTGCCCAACACTCTTTGCGTGAAAGAAGTTCCCTAGTTCCGATTGATCATCAGGTGGTGGAACATTGGGTGGGACAACTTTCTTTTTGGGCACTTGTTGAGCAGTTGGTTGTGCATCAGGATCCGTTTGATACACTGATTCACTAAAAAAAGTGAAATGTTCTCCGGTGTTGTATGTCGATCTCCATCAAGCATTTTCTTTCTCCAAGCAGCGTCGTTATGTTGCATAATCAGAGCCGATTGCTCTGCCAAGCTCTTGTTGTGTCCAGGATCGAAGAACATGTGCTTTCGAGAGTATATTGGCACATGGTGTTCTTGCAAAACCGGCAAAGGAGCATCATCAACACTTGGTTTCCAGCTCAATATCATGGTCAACCACATTTGCAGGAACCAAGGTTGTAAAATGTCCGTGTTGGTTGCCAACATATCCGAAAAGGAAATGTCCGTGAGGATCAGTTCCACTGTCTGGATCTCCATACAAGCCGTCCTTGACGATGTTGGGCTCTGCTGCCTTGATGTGATTGAATGCCTCGACTGTGGCTGTGATATTATAAATATATATATATATACATAAATCTCTCTTTTTAAATATCTATCTATCTATCTATCTATCTATCTACCTGTCTGTCTACCTATCTTTCTATCTAACTATCTATCCATCCATCCATCCATCCATCCATCTATCTATCTATATTATATATATGTGTGTGTTATGTATGTATATATATAATTACAAACACCAAAGATATCTATATATATACATATATATATATCGACTTATATATATATACACATGTATAAAATATATATTGTGTAAATATATATATATGTATATATGAATGTGAATACAAATATATATATATATTATTTACAGTATACATATATAAATATATATGTGTATAGATAGTCCAGCCTCATCAGAAACCGTCATTCGAAGTCGAAGCTTGGATCTTGTGTGATCCAGTGAAGATCCATGATCTCAATGTAGGAGGTGCTGGCAATGTGTTTGATCCGGTCCGGATGAATCGACATCTCAGCTGCACGTCCAAGCACAAACAATTTGATGTTCTTCGCTCTCTCTTCATCCTCCTTCACATGATGCTTGTTGACAGCAAATCCAACGTCATTGTGCCGAATTTTGGCTCGCCGTTTTGGATACAACATTGATGCTAAGCAATGCCAGAAGCAATACCTCAAAACATCTCAAAACAATCTTGGATGATGACATAAATATGTGCGCGGGGTTCTTCAAACAATGCAAAATCCCACCGATATAATATTCAGATGTGTATATATATCTATATCTATATATATATACATACATACATACATACATACATACATACACACATACATACATACATACATACATACATACATGCATACATACATACATACATACATACATATTGGATGTGCATATAAATACCAAAAAAAATGTATGGAACAAAATAAAGAAATATATATATATATATACATATTAAATAGATAATACTAATTCATATATATATATATACACAAATATATAGATAAATACAAGATCAGTTCACCCATCAGGTGGAGTTGGACCCTGCTTGAAAAAAGGCAGTTGGCTTCGACGATGTCTTGGGCCTGTATGCAATCTTCTTGAACTCATTAGTCGGTTTGCTATTGTCTCCTCTGTGCTTTGGTTCAGCTCCTCCACGCTGTAGCACTTATAGTCTGCACTATGTTTTTCCGATGTGATTTTCCAAGTTTCACCGCTACGAGCTCTCCCGAGTGTAGTTCGAAGCATTCAGGATTAAGATCGCCATTGAACCAAATCATCAAACAAGATGTTTGATGTTGTTCTTCAAGAGAAAGCATATTCGTTTCCAATTGTAAACAACCAGGCCCATCACCGTGTAGCCTTTTGATGTCCACTGCTTCAGCAATTGCGGATGGTTGTGCAGCTTTAGTGCATTGTAGCACAAGTGGTGTGCTACACGATCATTGCCACCCATCAACGCAAACTCGGTAGGTGAATTCTTGAATAATCTGCACTTCATATTCTGATTCAGTCCAGTGCACGCCTTGAATTTCGATTCTTTGATTGAAGACTGTTTCACCTCGGGTACCATGGTCGATGAAATGTCTTTCATGTCCCGCATCGTTTGTCCAGGATTCCGGACAGTTCAGCTATGCCAGAACCTGGGCGTGGAAGCGGAACCTTCTCCGGAACCTTCTCCGGAATCCTGTTGAACCTGACCCGGCGCCTGCACCAGTGCACACCGGAGCTATTCTGGGCTGAAGACCCCATTAGCCTATGCTGTTGGGGAAAAATGTTTGAAACCACCAACCAGCATTAAGTTGCCAGTCATACCGTGGATGTTTGCGAGTTATCCTGTTATCCTGCAGGGTAACTATTGGGATTCCTATGAAACACTGTACGAATCATGGAATTTCACTGGGGTAAACCCCATCACTTCAGTGCCAAAATGTCTGTCTTCGGTTAACACAAATGTTGACACTTAGCAAGGCGCATGTGTATACTGCTTGTATCTAAACACCTGTAGAATCATGTAGATATTGATATAATCAAAGAAACATAATGGTTACCTGTTACAGACCATCATTCTTGGGGCTTCGTCGGCCACAAAGGTTGTTCTCATGCTGCAGGTTCCATGGGTTATGTTGAGCCACGCTCGAAATGCGATTGGAAATGGTACAGTCAATGATCCAACCGAGCAAAACCATGCAAAACCTACAACGTCCACGAGAATGGAGGCAAATTGATTGCAAGTCGTTTCCTTCCTTTTCTTTGTCAAGACAACTGGAGATCATCGAACATCAAAGCAAAAGAAACCCAATTTTTGAATCAAATCCACTGGAACCTATGAGGACATACTGTTGTTGGTTCAATTCTGGAGTCCAAAGCCAAACAGACCAGCGATGAACAAGCGGGGTTCAAGTCGCGAAACCGCCGGTGTTCTTTTCGGCTTCCAAAATTCAGCCATAGTTTTTCCAAGGTCGTGAACAAATCATCAAAAACTCATCGTTTTTCCCCGTCCTAATCGCCACAAGCGGCTCTGCCAACGCAAGTGGAAAATCCAACAGTTGAAAGCCGGCCAGTCCTCAGGAATCATGACGAAGATACAAAATTCGATAATTACTTCATGGGGACATTTCATGAAGACTTCACGTGATATTTAAGGGGAGATTGAGAAAATCAGCTCGATACTAGTTGTGCTTTGGGACGTTGGTGAATGGTGCCGGAAAATGGTAAATTGTCCTTCAATCCATAGCTATTTATACAATGGACAAACTCTCATGGCTTTCTCCAGGTAGTGGCTGTTCTCAATGGGGATCAGACAATGTACTTTGAATGGGGATATTGCGCTGAGGGATATATTTGTATAGATAGATAGGTACATAGATAGATAAATAGGTGACTGTATACAAAATATGTGAGGCTTTGAGTTTGTCTGAACATTGGGAAGTTACCCAGATTTACCCCGTAAGAATGGCTATTACAAAATGTAGAACATGAGCTTTGCAACCATTGGAATGGAGGTAGCCCATTTTTGGCACAAACCACTAAATATCATGGACGGATTGGTTATTGATTCAAACCCTCATGGATTGCAATCACTTGATTGTGTTAAGGGACTGTTCCAAAATTTAGGACGGAAAACACATGAACCGATCAGGTAAGTGGGAAAACACATGAACAGATCAGGTCAAGTGGGCTGATTTATGGAAAACCGTATAAGAAAGGAATCATTTTTTTTAGATGCGGTGTAAAATGTCTCTTAACCCAAGTCTGGATGAATAGCCTCTGGGAATCTCACATCGCCATGCAAGAAGGCAATGGGAATGGTTTCATGGCGATATTATGCTATATTAAATTACCAGATGGTAATCTACAAGGTGGAGCCCCCTAGTTATATGTTGGTTTATAACTCCATCTGACTATCCCCCATTAGGCCTAGTTTTTGTGGTTATAAATTTAGAAACCAACTTAGATATCACAAATCCGCTATAAACCCCATAAAAGTCCCATTTGTGTTGGTTAAAACATCATGTTCCAATGGTTTCGTTCGGGGATCCATCAAAAATGGTTGATCACACCCAGCAGCCCAGCAGAATGGCGGCGCCAAAGAGGCATAGGCAAGATGAATAGGAACGACCTGAAGGGCAACGTCTGACGTCACACGCATCAAAAAAAAAATGGCCAGAACAGCATGGGTTGGGGGACCATCATTCACCGGTTCTACCGCACCTTTTCTTGGTCAAAACCCCAACTTAGTTGTGAGTTATACCATCCCGTCATTCTCATACAATATGCATGTTTCACAGACACAACTTGAGAGGGGGACGGCGAAAGTAGGTGATGAAGAAGGGGAAGCAAAGCCTCTCTGTGTAAAAACTGGCTGTGTGTAAAAGCGTGCTGTGTGCACAAGTTTCTGTGTGTAAAAGTTTTCTGTGTAAAGGCATCTGTGTGTAAACTGTGAAAAAAAACTGTGCATTAAGACTTCTGTGCGTAAAGGTTTCTGTGCGGAAAAAAAATATGTGTGTAAAAGTTGTTCTGGGTAAAGTTTCTGCATGCAAAAGTTTTGGTGTGTAAAAACTTCTTTGTGGAGTCTGTGTCTGCGTGCACAAGTTTTTCTGCGTCAAAGTTTTCCTGCGTAAAAGTTTTGTTGTGTAACTGTTGTTCTGTGCAAGGGGTTTCTCTGTTTTAAAAGGTTCTGTGTGTAAAAGCGCCTGTGTGCCTTTATTTATGCGTGCAAAAGCATCTTTGTGCAAAGCATCAGTGTGTATAAATGTCTGTGTAAATTTTTCTTTGCGTAAAAGCCTCTGTGTGTAAAGGCATCTGCGTGTAAAAAGTTTCTCCGTGCACAAACCTCATTGTGTAAGAGTGTCTGCGCATAAAAGCTGCTCTGTGTAAAGGTTTCTGTGCGTAACGTCGTCTGTTTGTAGAAGCGTATCGGCGCAAAATGCGTCACCACAGCAAAATCGCAAAAAACAATGAGACAAAAGAACCCCAACTCAAATGCCTGCTGTCGTTGCGTTGTTGATGGTGGCGGTGATGCCCGCAGGGCCCCACAAGGCGTCATTTTGGCAGTTTAAGCCAATTTTTAAAGGCCTTCGGGACAACCTAGACGACGGCGTAGAGGAGCAACTTCTTCCAGCGTTAATATCAAGACAAGGCAGTATATTG